TTCAATGGACAAACCAGTTAAAAAGGAAATTTGAGGTATAAAAAGGAAATTTGAAAGGATTAGGAGGACAAAATGTAAAACAAAAGTAAGTATAAAGAAACCCTAATAGCCCCAACCTCTCGATTAGATCAAAATCAAAAGAGGGGTTTTTGGATTTTGTACTTAAAATCATCAAATCAATCTTCTTCTCCGATTGTTTTCTGTCGCCGCCGTTCTTCACCGATATTCGTTCGCCGGTAAGTATTTCCCTCTTTCTTCCTATTGTAATATTATTACCCTTACCCTCGTTCTCGTCGGAATAAAAATCCGACTTTTTTTTCTCGCCGCGACGGAAACTGATTAGATTGAGTGCCTTGTTCGTTTGTAGAATTGAATAAAATCGGTAACTTTATTGATTTTTTAATGATTGTAATCGTTATTGTTAAGCTTCGTAGACGAAAGTTGTGTTCTTTTGTGGCTTATGCACATTATTAAGTCTATTGCAAGCGAGCTGTCTCTGTATGGTGTTTCAATGATGGGTTTAGTTCTTAGGTTGAATACCCTTTATGTCTTTTTGGTGATTTCGAACTAGATTGAATGTTTCTTTGTAGGCTTTCACATGTGGTATATTTTCTAAACCAGTTTTGTGTGGATTCATTGATATATAGGTTGTCTCAATGAGGGGAAGGAGCTACACTCCGTCACCACCAAGGGGTTATGGGAGGAGGGGACGAAGCCCAAGTCCTAGAGGCCGATATGGTGTTCGTAGTAGGGACCTTCCGACTAGTCTTTTGGTTCGTAATCTACGCCATGATTGCAGGTACATACTTTTCCTCAGAGTTATCTTGATAACTATGTTTGGTTCTGGTTCGTGATAGGATACTAGTGTATATGTGTTTGGTTCTTTGTAGCGGACTTTGATTCTTATCTGTCTTCATTTTAGCAAATTGTAAGTCTCTTCTTACATATCTTCCTTTTCTGCAGGCAAGAAGACCTCAGGAGAGCATTTGACCAGTTTGGTCCACTGAAGGACATTTACTTGCCGAGGGACTATTATACCGGGTGAGCATGTTTAGTAGATATGACATTCAGTGTTGGACAATTGAGTTTTACTTATGTTACGATTAAATTGTATCTCTATTTCTATCTTCTTTTTGGCTCTTATACTACCTTTCCTGAATCTTTGCTTGCTACGTTTAGTCTCCTTTCCTTTTTCATTCTTTGATCTTTCCGTGTCTCCTCGTCAACTTTAGGGCCATAGAAGAATCTTCTAAAATGTGTTGATTTCATAAATCATATCCAACCTCCATTTTTATCTTTATTCGACCATTATTTGAAGTATTTTTTTTTGGACAACATTAGATGAAGTCTTAAACCATTGATTTTTGGTGTTGATAGAGAGAGAGAGAGTTTGGATTAGTCATTTTTTAATTTAGTACCTGCGTAGACCTCATCCTTTTAGTCCTTTATGGTGAAGCATATAATGTTGATATGTTCCATATGCAAAACACACTTTGTGTGTTGTTGAGGTCTAACAGTGAATTAAAGTATTGAAGATGTTCAATGTGATAGTGAAGATTTGAAGTGAAGTTTGGTTTGTATTCAATTTGAGGATGAATCAAGTCTCGAAGAAGTCATCTTTAGACTTGCGAGATTAGCAGGCAAGTGCTTGCTTTTTTCATGTTTATCCTGATATCTTCTGTTTCAGGGGAACATATTGGCAATTGTCCTTCGACAGACTTGTTGTAAAGTGGTACCTCTTCCTCGGCATTTTTAATATATTTGGTTCCTAGTCTGAAATCTTGTCTTGCTCTGTTAAATGCAGAGATCCGCGTGGATTTGGTTTCGTTCAATTTGTGGATCCTGATGATGCTGCCGAGGCAAAACATCACATGGATGGTTATCTTCTCCTTGGCCGTGAGTTGACTGTTGTGTTTGCTGAAGAGAACAGGAAGAAACCCATTGAAATGAGAATAAGGGAGCGTGGTGGAGGAAGGTACACGATTACTTTCTCATTTTCAACTTCTCTGTTTGTCACCGTATTGACAAGTCCTCAATGTATAACGATGCCTACAACTCAATTTTAACATATTTTGTGTGTGTAGGAGCAGCAGATTTCGGGATAGAAGACGTAGTCCCCCTCGTTACTACTCTCGTTCACCTAGGTATTCTCGTTCTCCTCCTCATCGGCGTGGTAGATCTCGGTCCCTGAGCCCTGACTATTATTCTCCTCCCCCTAGAAGGCATCGCTCAAGGTATCTACATGTTCTGTGTGAACTCAACTACAGATTTTTGCATGGACAAATAACCATTTTCCACTCAATTTCACTTTTTTATACTCACCAACTCTCTTCTATCACAGGTCTATCTCTCCCAGGGAAGAACGATATGATAGGGGGAGGTCATACTCGCGCTCACCCGTAGCCGTAGCCAAAAGCCGTAGCCCAAGAAGAAGCATAAGCCGTAGCCCGAAGAGAAGTGTAAGCCGTAG